TGATTAATTTCTTCTGTGTTATATTTATATTTAATATTGCTTACATTTCAGAATGGAAAAGGAATTTTATTTGATTAAGGGTTGTTTCCTTTAAGTATTTTGTCTATATTTTAACTGCGGTCATTACACGTCATTTCCTGTATGCCGGCTGGAGAGTAATAAGTGGACATAAGTCTGGAGTTTTTGAACTGCACAAGGAGTTAAAGGAAGCATTTCGTAAGGATTTTCAGCTTCAAACTTCCCTCTTAGCTCACAAGCAGGCAAAAGTGGTACGTTGTACTTTGAGTTTTATCGTTGTTTGTAAGTTATTTATACACAACTATAAGGTAGTTGCTTTCTGAGTGTGTCATGCCTGCAGTCATGTGACTGCTTGGTCAGGAAGCAGATGGTCGTTAAGCTTGATGACGGAACTGGCAAAGTCCACCAGGTCCACAAAATCTAAGGTGATGATGTTGACTCCTTGCCGCCCTGGCTTCTGGGCCTTCACCCAGGTCATGATGGTGGGCAGATTCCTGCAGGGAACGGGAGAGACTTTTTTACCCCCACGATTTAGCAGATAGTCCCCCAATTTAAGCCAGGTGACTCATTGCTTTAGGTTGACATAGGCTGTGCTCTGCTGCCATCTGCTGGCTAAAACCATGTAAACACAAGCACAAACATATGTACCCAGCATGCACTCACACAGACATGCATGGCTCTCAGAAGGTAAGCAAACATGCTCACCTCTCCACCAGGTGCTTGCGGAGCCCCCTGAGGAGTCCCCCGATGACGGTCCTCACCCTGGGGGTGAGGACGGCCTGGGACACATGGAAAGAACCACAATGGACACGCTCAGCCCGTGTGCTCTCCAGGAACTGGAGCAGTTTGTGGGGGTCTGTGGTGTTGGCCCAGGGGGCTGGGATCTTGCTGCCCGGCCAGAGGAGGGTGCATGTCTCTGCAGAAGGGTGGTGGTAGAAAACAAGCACCTGGAGGACAGGGAAGTACAAAATGGCTGTAATGGACTGGGGGCCAAAATGGACAGGATGGGTGAAGTGAAAGAATGACAGAAGATGGAAAGTTTAAAAGACGGGGGTGAGTCAGGGAGAAAGAGAGAGAGAAAGAGATGGGGGAGGGGGAGGCTGCCATCTGATTTGCAGTGATCTCAAGTCTTTACTTCAGTCTCTTAGACTACATCAGTGGCAAAATGAAACTGGTCAGACCATCATAGTCACAGCAGAGAGTGTAGGGTACTGGGCAGTGTCAGTATTATTAGTGTGGAGCTATGGTCACTGTAAGGCAGGGACATCACTAGGATTGAAAGACAAGTGGGGCTTAGCCCCCAGGGTTGTAGGAAGGAATTAGCGCGTATAGAGGGCTGAAAATTTTTCACCAATTCTAAACAGGCTTCTTTAATTTTATTATCTCATTAATCTAGAAGGCTCCACCCTGAAGAAAACGACAACAACAAAACAAATAATCTCTTTACCTGTAAAGCTCCACCAGTCTTAATCATGCACGCTCCCTCAGCATCAGCTCCCCTGCCGCTCTCCTGCTTCTCCCTCAATCTTTCAAAATACTTTCGTATATACATCTGTTATATAAACTGAACTTCACTGTCCCTGTTTTTGCTGTTCTAAAAATATATCCACTTAATGGTAAGTGTCCCTGTTTTTGCTGTTGTAAAAAAAGGGACACTTACCATTAAGGTTTTGATCACAATAACTAATTATGACAGTAGCATTATGTTAGTCTAAATTAGTTTTAAAATAGCCAAAAACTTCACTTTCCTTTCACTTATGGAAACCTAAGTAAAGTTAAGCAATTAACAGTTATTGACACCTACTCACAATCTCTGACAATGAAATTATCTGGCCGCTTCTTTCTGTTGAACGTTGCTACTCGCTAACAAGCCGCGACATGTAGCTTCTGCCTGTGTCCTAATGCCCGCTTCTACCTATAGCAGCTTAAACAGCCAGTACATAATTTTAATTAAATAATGATAGCTAGACTTACAGCGTTATTTTTAATAATAGTCTTGCTTCTATTTGTTAAGTGCGTACCTGCGTTCAGTGATATCTTATATGAAATGTATGGATATATAATTTTTAAATAGTATGATAATTACTATATTTTTAGGGGGGGCTTGGGATCATTTTGGGGGGACTGAAGCCCACCCTAAATAGGCCTAAAGATGCCCATGCTGTAAGGTAGGGGCAATTCAAGAGTGTTTTACAGCGGGGGGAGGGGGGGGGTATAAGAGACACCATGAATCATACTGAGGGGCCAACTTTATCATTAGCCAATGATGAGTGACTGGGGAGGAGGTCTCTCAGCTTTCACCTAGGACCAGTGCCCCTGTGTGAAGTATGGAGCAGTCGTACCAGCCTCCTGCGCATACCTGATAGTCGTTCTCCCACAGGTAGTCCAGTGTTATCTCCTCCACCGCACTGACCTTGCAGAGCTTGCGGCCAAAAACCTCATACAGTGTGGCCAGAAGGTGGCGGTGGTGTTCTTCGCTCATGGCATAGTGATGGTTGAAGTCCAGCAAGACCACCTCCTTTGGGTGCTCGCCAAGTAAGCGCTCGATGTCACTGAGGCCGTCCTGCACCCGGTGCCCAAAGAGGGCGTGGATGAAGTAGACCTCGTAGCCTGGCTCGTCCGGTTTGGACGACACACGCAGGTTGAAGTAGCAGATGCCTGCCTCTAGCTGCTTGAGGAAGCTCAGGTTCTGAGTCATGGACCACTTCTTCATCACCTTCTTTGCCAGGGGGCGGAACGCAAAAACTAGATGTTTGACCACAGCCCTCTGGTCTGGACCCACTGGTGCGTTTTCATCCACTCAGAAAGTGAACGAGTCATGTGACCCTGAGAGGGAAGATGAGTCACGTGACCCTGAACAGAAGACGTCAGCTGTGTGTGACCTCAAGCAAAGAAATACATTGAAGCAGTGGCATGGCAAAGCTGAGCTCACGACAATGTTTCTCGAAACAAAGTGACATATGAAGCTAATTGGGTGACCCATAAAAGTTCCCTAACCACTGAGGGTGCCTGTCTGAGCAAAAATAAAATGCAGTATGGAGGCGTGTTAACTTAATCTGAGGGAATATTTTGCACATGCGTAGCAGCCACATCTCCCCGAAAAGAAAGTTCCCGAAAAGATACCAGATCCTCTCGTGTCCTTATAGTTGTGTATAAATCTCCCACCGTGTGTGCACATTACAGTTCGGCATCTGACCATCTTATGTTTCTGCTGTGCGTATTTGGGAAGGCGGTAGCCTACTCCTTATGTGCCTATGATGCTTTTGTTAAAAACTATAATAAAGAGCGTGATCTGTTCTCCCAAGCAAGCACTCGAATCCGCAGTTCGTCTGGCGCTACTATATGTGTGTGTGTGTGTGTGTGTGTGTGTGCAGGTTATGTATTACTTTGTGGGGGAAAAATGTAATAAAGATCTGTTATTTTGACGTTGTGGGACCTTTTTTCAGGCTCTCACAAAAATCTGTGAATGCAGTCAAAAACTAAAAATGCCAAATGTCTCGTATTTTGTTTGGTTATTTATGGTTAAGGTTATGGCTGGGTAGGTCGTCATACTGGGATTAGAGATTTCCCCACAAAAATGAAAGGAGAGTCCCCGCAAAGATATAGTTACAAACCTGTGTGTGTTTGCGCGTGTGTAAGTGCATAAAAACTTGAATGTCTGGCCATTAGAAACTGTAAATTGATTGTTGCACATATACACACGAGCGGAGTGTGCTGCACTTTATCCCCTAATCCGAGCAGCATTTAGAGTATTGCCATCTGGAATTTGCCCTATTTACCGCCAGACCGGAGTCTGGGTTCATCGCTGAGGCTGTTAGTACATGACGCACGAACAATATTTCAGAATCGCAATTCCGATCCACTGGTATAATCTAATCAGTGAAGCGCCCCCTCCTCAACCCTCAGAATGGAAAGATGTAAAAGGTTGGCTACTGACAATGACGTAAAACAAAGCAGATATAGATCGTAACCAGTGCACATAAGACCCGGGTCCTTTCTGACAGTCCGGGGCCGTATAGGTGTAACTTGGTCCGTTTCTGGTTAGAGTTTGTCGTTAGTTACCTGGTATCGCTAGATGCTTCAGGGGCATATGGCGCTAAGCCCAGGCGGCAGGGAGCCCATCCACGCAGCGCTGACCGGACCTCCCGCCGCCGCCGCCGTCGCCGACTCTGTTCCTGCCCTTCATGCCATTATTGTGGCACACCGCCTTGTACAAAAGTACTAATAGCGATAACCCTCTTAGTCCTACGTTACTTTCTTTATCCCCAAGCTCTTATTTAATGGCCCTTTCCAAGTGCATCTCCGTCACGCAGTTTTTGGGACGCGGCGCACGGCGGAGTTTGACTGGCTGACGCTCGATTTCTCAGTCATACGTCGCTTTGGATAAAAGCAATTACTAATTTTAATTTTATTGATTTTAAGAAGGATGTCCTGCAAATAAAGTGTAATTGTAGTGCATAAAAAACTACGCACCTTAGAAGGAAGCCGGTCATCTTCATATAGCCTAATCATTAATTTCGATGCTAGCAAAAAAGAAAAAAACACCTATCGTCATTTCAACTGCACGAACAACAAACCCTTAAACGTAATACACCCTTGTGCAAATGAATAGAAACAAGCTGTCACACAGACATGCATGCAGTAGGGTTGGACCTGCTGGTTTGCACAGCCAACAGAGCAGATATGTCGCTGCGGATGGACAGACGGGCAGGTGGGGTTAGATCTAGAGCTGGGTGATATAATTGTGTTTCAGCCATCCATATATGTTTCTATATATGTTTCAGGTGAATGCTCTGGGGGTCGGGTGTCTCTCCATTCCCCCACAGTCCAAAAATATGATAAGGATAATCGGAGCTGCCAAATTCCCCACAGGCGTGAACGCGGTGTGTGTACCCTGCGATTGATTGTTGTTTCATCCTGGGTTATTTCCATTTCATTTTTATCAATCCGCCAGGCCCTAAATTCAGACCCAAGGCGATAAGTATGAATTAATGTGACTGTAACGTCTGTCTCAACTGTGGTCAGTCTGTCTGCCAGGGTCGCCAAATCTCTCGACCATCTATCCTGATTCTCCCACTCCCGCAAGAAATCTTACGACAAATCTGTATCCATTAAAAACCTAAAATTAGCTACATCCAAAGCGTTGTGGAGCTTTGTTAAACCCTACAGACTATATTTACAAGGTAATAAAAGTGTTATATGCATGTAAATGCGCGTGCAGACTTGTCTTGAAAATCTCACTCCAGCCAGCTGACCAGAGTTCGCACCCCTGGTCTGCATATAGATGTGACGACTTGTTTCAATGAATTTGCAAATGGGTGTATTCGTAGCAGACCAGATGTAATAAGAGCTGAACAACTTCCCCTGCTAAACAGAGCGATGTGTCAACTTTGCCCACGGGGCTGGGAAACTGAAATGCATAAGTACCCAATTCATGTTCATGCTCTGCTGGTCAGACAAAGACAGGTTATCTATGGCGTTCAAACTGCCTCTCGCCGCCATGGCCTCTACTGCCTTCCACAGCATAAAAGCATAAACAGGGCTATCTTCTGGTCTTTGGATGAAGACAAACCCATCGTAAATGACATAGCCTAAATGATATATTAGAAACCTGAGAAGTTTATGGTCACATCACAATACGGCCAGTAAGATTAATTTTCGATTCCTGTTAATGTGAAAGTTGTGCAACGTATTGCTTATTTTTTCTGCGATCGTATGTTTCTTGCACCCAAGGTCCCTTTAAAACATTCAGCTGCGAATGCCGACACACTTCCTGTGTCAAACTATATGTGCAAGTGATATAATGTGCAACGTTCGCCACGCCTTATAACTAAAGACACTTAAGTCGTGACGGCGCACGGTGCCGGAGTACGAACGGAACGGAACCGATACGCTCTGCGTGCTTTTATGCGGCACATTTAGGCTATGCGGTGCATGTCCGCCTTAGAATAACTGGCACAGCATTCGGTGCCGCTTTGGAGTCACCGGGTCACTCTGAGTCCATTCGCGGACGTGCGTCTGGATGCCGCGCTGCTTCTGCATGATGGGTGACGGAGTGGACATCCCGGTGTACCACGAAAACCTCAGCAAGAGTGATTGTGAGGAGATACTGGGCAGGACAGGGCTGGATGGGGCTTTCTTGATCCGGGACAGTGAGACCATCCAGGGGGCCATGTGCCTCTGCGTGTAGTAAGTACTGCCGTCTGAGCTGTTGCAGCTAGGTCACTCATGTTTCATATTCCGCAAATAAGTATTAAATCGCGGGGCTGCATACTTTGTTATGATTGTTGCACAGTTTAAGATTATTTCACCGAAACGAGAAACTCTAGGTATCCTTATAATTATACAACAGTCCCCTGTGAAATAATAATAAAAAAAAAAATCGGCAAGCAGGGTGCTAATTAAGAATTCTGGGAGATTTCCTTAGCGAGGCAATGCATCATGAGCTGTGTCTGGGGCAGAGCGGAACACACCTGAGCCGCAGGTAGATTAAGGAGTAACGACACGCTTTTCACCATAAGGGCATCCAAATGTCCCTTCGTATGAGTGAAGAAAGAAGTCTCTTTCTACAGCACATTCCCGTATGCTCCAACAGAAAGGCATTATTATTATTATTTTTATTTTTATTATTTTATGCATTTCCAAAAGGAGGTTTAACGCACATCACGCAGCAATTTCCAGTTCGGCGTTGTGCTGTTATTCGTTTACTCCTTCACTTGAGCCGGTCTGTGCGTGGGAAATGGGGTGTATTATTGGGCATTTTTCCACCGCACCAGGTACCTTACTTCTGGTACTATAAGGGGCTGGTTATTCACTGGCGTAAAAACCGGGACCGGCACTGAATGATATCAAAGCCTAGCTAAGCTCAAAATAAATAAATCACAGGGCCCTGATGGCATCTTACCTATAGTGTTAAAAGAGATGAGGGATATTATTTGCTGACCCTTAACTTTACTGTTTAAAAAATCCTTATCTGAAGGTGTGGTACCTTCTAATTGGAAGCATGCCAACATAACGCCCATTTTCAAAAAAGGGGATAGAAGTAATTTGTCAAACTATAGGCCAATCAGTCTAACTTGTATAACTGGTAAAGTTATGGAGGCTATAATCAAAGAGAAAATGGTAGATTACCTGGACTCAAATAACATTTTGAGGGATAGCCAGCATGGATTTAGGAGAGGTAGATCCTGTTTAACAAATCTGTTGGAGTTTTTTGAGGAAGCTACTCAGGAAGTTGATGATAAGAAGGCCTATGATGTCATCTACTTAGATTTCCAAAAGGCTTTTGATGTTGTCCCCCACAAGAGGCTCTTACTTAAACTCAAAGCGACAGGTATTTTAGGAATTGTAGCGACCTGGATTGATAACTGGTTAACAGATAGGAAGCAGCGAGTAGTTATAAGAGGCTCAATGTCACAGTGGGCCTGCGTTCATAGTGGGGTACCGCAGGGTTCAATTTTAGGACCACTATTGTTCCTAATTTACATAAATGATATAGACACCAATATACAGTATACAGTAAACTGGTGAAATTTGCAGATGACACCAAGGTGAGTGGTGTAGCAGATACTGAACTATGGCTCAGCAGCTACAGTGGGATCTTGATTTAATTAGTACTAGGTTTTGGGTCACAGGCTCCAACGGTCTAGAAGCTATTGAAAGAAAAGGCCTAATTTTAGAGGGAAAAAAATCATATCAAGTACACAAAGGGTTAAACTTGAATAAAAGTTGCTGTGTCCTATAGGCCTAAGGTAGTACTACAATTGGTACTAGGTTTTGGGTCACAGGCTTCTACAGCCTAGGAGCTATTGAAAGAAATCTATCTACCCACTTTTTCCTTTTAAAAGGATACTTTAAAATACAATAAAGTGTTAAAAACCAGTAAAGTTCACTGTGTCCTGTGTATGTCAGGTAGTTGTAGAATATGCACTCATTTTGGAGTTACTGGGTTATTGGAGTTATTGCAAGCAATCAGTATTTTATTTTTCTGACAGTAATTCGTTGACGGTCCCTAAATCATGCCAGCGCTTCCGAGGCTGTGGAATTGATCTGGTCGTCTTTCGACCGCCTTATGCCGGCTAGCGTGAGTGATGCCCCGCCGCTAAGTCTGGAGAGTGTGGATCTGAATATCCGTCGAATATCCAACCTAAAACTGATTTCACCTCGGTCAGGGACCGCTACAACATTATTACTCTGTCATAGGAAAAAATATCACGATTTGTAATTTTAATTTTTATTCCTTTTCAAGATTATCTAGCATATGTTTAAAAATCAGTTTAAAGTTTACCTCCTACGCTTTTGTAAGAGCGCTACATGCGTTCTCTGAGACAATCATAATCATTTTCATCCCTGCTGTTTAAATCACCCCTTTTATGAGGGTTTATGAGAAATTAATGAGAAATTAATCAATATTTATTACAACAAAATACCATCGCAATACTTAGAAACTTTCAAATTCCGTGCTGTCCTATTATATTACACAAAATACTTTTTTTCTTTTTATGGTATCCTGATCTTTGGTTTTTCTGTCCAGGGGGGTGTTCCACGAAGCAGAATTTCTCGGTTAACTGGGTTTAACTCTGCTAGAAGTCGAAATTAGCTAGAAATCAGGATTGTCCAATAGAAATGCTCCTTACCTAAAAAAAAAATTCTGTTTTTTTTTTTCTTTTACCATTTTTCTGGTATCCCCGGGGGATTTTGGGAGGTTAAGGGCCTTGCTCATGGGCTCAGTGGACATGTGATTGTCCTGTTGAGGCTCAAACTAACAACATTCTGATCACAGGCACAGAGACTAACCTGCTGATCCATGCACCCCCCAATCAAAATAATAAAAAGAGAAATATGGAACATTTTATTTTATAAATAGGACCATAATTGAGACACGGTGCAGTGTAAATATATGTGGCCCCTGATGGCCCAAGTCGAATTGCACCACTGTGTGGCCAATGGATATGTGGTTCGCCAATATATGGGCCCATTTTCTTTTTTCTTTTTTATTTCATTCCAGTCCAGTCCTGTTTGCACAGATTTGAAACTGATGTTTATCTTTCTTAAAGAATTTGGTCCTTGTTTGAACGTGCTGATATCTAATTTACGCTATGCTAATTAATTACAATTAAGTGTAATTAATTTAGAATACTATAACATTAAAACCAGTGTGAAATGCCAGAAGCTTGATATCCCATGTGAGTGAGACAGCTTCAGTCCTGAATGTTGCCTGTACTGGGTCTCAAACTACTATCAAAATAAAAACCCCAATTTTAGATTTATAACTAAAATATAAATGGTTCTTGTTATTCAAGCGATGTTTTAGGTGAATAAAGTGTAGACTGTTTGCGGCTGAAGCCGATTCACTGATCAAACTGTTCAGGTTTGCAGGCCCCCTGACGTGTGTCACTCTGCTTCCTGTCCTGGCTCCTTGTGGGTAACACTGCTCCGTGTGTGATCTCCACAAGAGCTCCTTACTCTTTGTCGTTTTGCATAAGAATTGCATTTTGCTGATGAGGGCTAAAGAGGGTGCAGGCCAAATGAAAGCAGCAGTGAAGCTGGCAACTGAGTTTACGTGACATTTTCAATCGACCGTCTCTAAGGATATGGCCACTAACTTTGTGCATGTGTGCATCTCACACACAATCTCATAGCTCGCACACAGAACACACATACAGAAAATGCACATGGCTCACACACAGGACACGTATACAGAAAACGCACATGGCTCACACATAGGACACACATACAGAAAACACACATGGTTTGCACACAGGATACATATAAAGAAAATGCACACAGCTCACACACAGGACATACATACAGAAAATGCACACGGTTCACACACAGTACATACATACAGAAAACTCAGTCGGCTCACACACAGGATACATGTATAGAAAATGCACACGGTTCGCACACAGGACACACATACAGAAAACACACATGACACACACAGGACACCCATACAGAAAATGCACATGACTTGCACACAGGACACACATATAGAAAATGCATACAGTTTGCACACAGGACACACATACAGAATACAGAAAATGCACATGGTTTGCACACAGGACACACATACACAATACAGAAAATGCACACGGCTTGCACATAGGACGCACAAGCAGAAAATACACGTGACTCACACACAGGACACACATACAGAAAACACACACACAGCCATGGAAAATGCAGCTGTTTAAAATCTTGTTGGTTCAATCTTCTTTGAGCTTGTTTTAAATTAATTTCTTTAACTTTAGTTATTTCATTCATTTGCCTCAGTTTGTCTCACTTGCTCTTTGTTAATTGTGTTTCATTTCTGTCCCTGTTGCTTAAACTTGCTTTTTTCACAATGTGTCTGTGTTTCTAATGGAAAGTCCATTTTGCAAATGACTGTCTCTAAGGATCTGGCCACTAACTGTGTGCATGTGTGTATCTCTGCAGCAAGAAGAAGGTTGTGTACACCTACCGGATACATCAGACTCACGACGGACTTTACACCCTGCAAGTAAGTTCAGGAGTGTGGTGGTCTTGGTTGTGGCCTTCTCTGGGTGAGAACATCTGCGAGAGGTAGAGGAGCTGAAAATCACATGTACGGTCCCACAGTGGCACGTCACACCAGGTTACAAAGCAATAAGTTGAAGCCAGGTCTGATAAGCACAGGTGACACGGTGACACGGTCGCACAGCATGTGCCCTTCCCGTAGGATGATACATACCCCTATAATCCTGAAACACAGTTTAGGTGGGACTAGGAATAGTGATGCATTTAATGTGAGTCAAGTACATGTCACACACACAGGACAAACATAAACGCACATGGCTCATACAGGATACACATACAGAAAACGCACACGGCTCACACACAGGACACACATACAGAAAACGCACACGGTTCACACACAGGACACACTTACAGAAAACTCACATGGCTCACACACAGGACACACATACAGAAAACGCACACGGCTCACAGACAGGACACACATACAGAAAACGCACATGGCTCGCACACAGGACACACATACAGAAAACTCACATGGCTTGCACACAGCCATGGAACATGCGGCTGTTTAAAATCTTGTCGGTTCAAATGAAGGAATTTTCGTTGAGCTTGTTTTAAATTCATTTCTTTAATTTCACTTCTTTCTTTCATTTGTCTCACTTGCTCTTCATTAGTTGTCTCTTGTTTCTGGCCCTATCTCTTAAATTTGCTTTATTCGTGATGTGCCTGCGTTTCTAACGGAAGGTTCTTTGGCTGAACACTGCAGTCAACTAGCTCTTCCCAGAAAAACAAACTGAACGATGTGCCATCCCTAGACTTCCCCTGGCGTGAAGGAGAGGTTCTTCAAGACATTGGAGGACCTAATCAAGTCCTACAGGAAGAAGAACCAGGGCCTGGCCGCGAGATTACGGCACCCCGTCATGCCAGAGTCACTCCCTGCTAGCCCCAGCTGCGAAGATGACAGTCAGGACTATGAAAGCAAGTATTTCTCTATACCTCCATTCTGATCTCCATCATTCCTCTACCTTTTTATTTGTCTATTACATTATTATTCCATTTTTCCATACTTTAATTTTTGCGTCTAAGGGCGCTTTCCCACTGCACCAGGTACTATACATTTGGTACTTCAAAGTGTTGGTTTTCCACTGGCGTAAAAACTGGTACCAGTTCTGAATGACATAACAATGCGAGCCGGGGTATTTTGTACAGAATTCGAAAACTGACTGTAGTATATTATAGGGCTGGACGATGTGTGATATTAATACCAACATTGCATGTTATGTACATCCAATTTTTACATCGCTAGTCAGCTAGATTAAGATCAGGCGTTTTCATAGCTTCATACTGTGCAGACATTTTACAGCAGGGGGTTTAAAGTTTCCCTAAAACATTTTTACTCTGTCATAGGAAAAAAACTTAGAAAGCTTTGCAATCTTAATCATTGTTCCTGTTCAAGATTATCTAATGCATGTTTTTAAAAAATTTGTTTAAAGTTTTCCTCTGCTGCTTTTGCATGAGTGCTGCATGCAAGACAGTAATAATCAGTTTCATCCTTACCGTTTAAATCATTCCTAGGTGGTTTTATGAGAAATTTATGACGAACTCCTTTTTTGCTTTATAAATACCCCAGTATTTATTACAACAAAATCTCATTGCAATATTTGGAAAATTTCCAATACTGTGCTGCCATAGTATATTATACAAAATACAGTGGTACCTCAGAACTCGAATTTAATCCATTCAGAACTCCGGATCGAATCCTAAAAAGTTCGAATTCTGATTGAATTTTCCACATAAGAAATGATGGAAAACCAATTAATTGGTTCCTGGCCCCAAAAAATTACACCTAAATATGTTTTTTTAGCATTTAAGCACAAAATGAACTGGATAAAACAAGAAGAGCATATACTGTACTAAACACATCTAAGCACATTTATCAAAACAGTAATTTGTAAAGTAAGAAAATAAATGTACCCAAGCAATGTGTAAAGTTAAAAAAAACAATGTGTCCTGCCCCGATCGTCTGCTTCTTCCGTGTGCCACGCCCCCTTGCTAACCCCGTGTGGAATTCCCATGTGATCAGCTGTTTCAGGTTGTTTTCATTAGCCCTCTGTATTTGGTCCGTGTTTCAGTTTGTTTCCCCAGTCCGGCCATTGTATTGTCCGTCTGTGTTTTGCCTGCCTTACCTGTAATTATACCCCGTATTCCCAGATACCCTAACGTCTGCGCCTTTGTCCCTTCTCAGCACGAAAATATTATTATAATGAAATGTATTAATGGTTTGTTATTAATATTAAAAGAAGAAAGAAGAAATCTTTATTTTAAAATGTATTTTATTATATAATAATAATTACTGTTACTGTCTGTCATTGTCTAAATGTATTTTTACTGTCTAAATATATGTATTCAGCTAGTGTAAACATGCACGATGCTTTCACAGCGAATGCGAGGCTGAGACTGAAGCTTTACCCTTTGTTTCCACTGAGAGACGTGCCGCGTGACTCATTTCCCCTTTCGTAGAAGTTATCTTAGGTTGGCGTTTACGGTTTGACTTTTGAGATTCAGATCGAGCTCTAGGTAATTTTTTTTCCAAACTGGTTGGTTCGACTTTTAAGAAATTTGAGTTCTAATGAGTTCGAGAACTGAGGTACCACTGTACTTGATTTCCTGTCATGCAGTCCTACTCTGGTTGGACCTGTTCTTCTGATCAGATAGTAGGTGAAGCTTGGGTCTCCTCATTTGTCCACACATCCATTCTTTTTATGATTTTTTTTACTTTATTTATCGTTCTTTTCTGAGTTCGTAATTTGTTTCAAGATGGCAGTTGTATTGCGTTTCAGAGGTAAGCTATTTGCAAAATCAGTTCACAAAGAAAGCATTTACAAGTTCCCCCCTAACGTCCTGATGTACCAAAAAAGTATCCCAGCTGGTTTGGTACTTTAGGTACTGGAACTTTTGGTACTGGTACTCGACTGGTAGTCAGTGGAAAAGTACCGAAAGTACTGTATTTTTAGTATGGTGACTGGTGCAGTGGAAAAACACCCTAAATTTTCTTTATCATCCTGTTTTATCTTCATACTGCACCTTTCCATTTTCCTAGATTATCTTGGCAGATAAACAGGCCAGAGACTGCATTCCCCCACATGGTCTCACATATGACAGCCGTCTGATTCTGACTTTCACTTTCCCTGTGCAGCTAATTTCCTGATTGTGCCGCACACGTTTTCACACGTCCCACACTGAAGCGCACACCGCTAACGTGCAAGCTGACGCAGCTCAGGTCACTCTCATGAACCTGCCCAGAGGAGCTTCCTGCAGCACCCAGGCTGATGTAAAAAACCTAACATGTTTCCCCTTTACTCACAGATGTGGTGGACAGCTCGGAGTACGTCATCGTCCTGCCATCCTGAGCAAATCCCCTGTGCTGGTGGATCTGGTATCTGGTAACTTCTACCCGAGTGACTCTGGACTTTAAGCTTCATTTTGTACCAGACTGGACTGAGACTGAAAGCACGGACTGAGCTGAGGATATATGCATATCCCTGGAGGACAGTTTTAAAAGCTTGACCTGTGCCATTTTTATGTTTAGTTGAAGAACTTTTATAGATGTCAATGTACATTAGCATAATCTCTACTATAATGCCAACACCTGCTATCTTACAGTTTATTGTATTAATGATTTCTTCAGTGTTGCTTATGACCCACACACTGTAAAATATCACCTCTCAATGAAGACGTGTGCCTCTCATAATGTTATTTACTGGAATATGTCATGTTTTATACCAATTGTAGGATTTCTGCTAAACTTATTCATAGGCTATTTAGGGTGTTTTCTACTATAACATAGTTGTAATGTGTAGTGCATTCAGCAAGAATTTAAAGGGTTGCTGTTTGTTTTGAGATTAAATTGACCAAGAATTCAATAAAAACAACACTTGAATTGATATTGGTAATGTCTACATTGACAGGACACACATTGGGGCATGCACAGGCACAAACACCACACATACACAGGGATCACACAGGCACAAACACCACACATATACAGGCATCGCACAGGCGCAAACACCACACAGACACAGGTACAGACACAGGCACAGATACAGGCACAAACACCATACAAGTGCAGGCACAGATACCACACAGAAACAGATACAGGCACAAACACCACACAAGCGCAGGCACAGATACCACTCAGGTATAGACACAGGCACAGACACCACACATGCACAGGCACAGATACTACACAAGCGCAGGCACAGATACCACTCAGGTATAGACACAGGCACAAACACCACACAGGCACAGACACAAGCACACACTCCACAACCAACACAGGCACAAACACCACAGAAGCACAGGCACAGATACCACACAGGCACAGACATTGATGGCAAGAGAAACAGCTGAATTTTATCACAGCTGAATTTTAAGGACTGGTCATGTTTAGTGCTCCAGACTCTGAACCTGAGTATAACAGTAGGAGCAGTAGTGCTTTCAGTTCAAGGCTCTGTATGTGATGGTCATAATGTAATCAGTGTAACAACAGGGGGAGTAGTGGTCAGCGCATTGGACTGAACTTCAGGCTGTAACGTAATGACAGTATATTTATATTTATAATTTATATTTATATATGTTGCTCTGTCCCGATGGAAGTACAGCTAGTAAACAATGTAAAAATGTCCTAGTGTTATGACTTTGTAACCTCCAACGCTGTCAGACATCCTTTCCACTCTGCTCGCACACATCATACACTCACTTTGCCCTTTTGGTGAGATGGTTCTTCCATTTTAAATAATGGTGCTGCTGATGTCACTCTTCCCATGACTCATTGAGGCACCCCTCATGGGTGAGCCATGAGGAGCAGCTCAGGGCCCCTGTCTTTCCACATTGATGTTTAGCTGGCGTCTCCTGAGGAGAGTGACTGTCTAACGTGGCGACATGAATCCTAGGTACTGAAACGGAGGAGGAAGAGCTCTGAGCTGCTGAGCGGAGATACAGGCGCGTCTGAGCATGCGTCTGACCAGTGGAAAGAGAGGGTTTCTACTCGTGGTGGTGGTTGGGGGTGGGGGGGTGCTGGGGGCTGGGGGCTGGGAGAGTGGAGACAAGCAGCAAACCACACACCAAGCGGAACAAGAAGCGTCTCTAATCGGCTGGGCTTCCTGACCCCCGCTAACAAAGACTACATTTAGGCTAAAAGCAAGAAAAAGATATTAATGAAGTGTCCACCCCTGCACCTGCCTGAGCAATCCTGGGGAATCCCTGCAGGCTCCCCACTGGCCATGGCTGTGAACCGCTAGGTTGCTGGCTCACATTGCAGTGAACATTTTTGTATTTGGCGTCCTGTTCCTGTTGTCACACAGGTGGCAAACACCAGCAGCCTGTGGCTAATAATGAGCTGCCTCAGCCACCAAGCCCTTTCATTTCTGTGGTTACAGCCCCCTGCACATTGGCTGATCTGAAAGTTGGCTTAGGAAAAGCATGTCGCTGCAAAGCTGCAAAAGGCTAAAAGAGATAAAGGACCCAGCTGGTTCAGCGTGGTGTGAGGGCCCACATTACTCCTAGGTCAGTAAGTTACAATGGGGGATTAGGGGAGCAACATTAAAAATTGCCAAATGGGGGCGGAAATGGTAAAAGTTGGGTGTGTGTGTGTATACGTCAGTGGTACGTCAGTTCTCAAACTCATTAGAACTCGAATTTCTTAAAAGCCGAACCAACCAATTCGAAAAAAAATGACCTAGAATTCGATCTGAATTTCAGAAGTCAAACCGTGAACGCCGACCTAAGATAACTTGTACGTGCGGGGAAATGAGTCACGCGGCACGTCTCTCAGCGGAAACAAAGGGTAATGCTTCAGTCTCAGCTTCACATTCGCTGTGATAGCATTGTGCATGTTTACACTAGCTGAATACATATAGACAGTAAAAATGCATTTAGACAATGATAGTGTCACGCCCACGGGCGTCACACTTATCAAAAAAAAACATATTTCGGTGTAATTTTTTGGGGCCGGGAACCAATTAATTGGTTTTCCATTATTTCTTAGGGCGAAATTCAATCAGAACTCGAACTTCTTAGGATTCGGTCTGGAGTTCTGAATGGATTAATGCTGTGCCAGGCACAGGGTGTAGATCACTGATCCTCTGAGCTACACAGCAGCCCTTAGCTACAGTAGCCCTGAAGGTCAAAACACGACGACATTTCAAAAAACACAGTGACATTTCAGAACACACAATGACATTACAGAATACACAACAACATTTTAGAAAACGGAAAGGGTAGGACCACACTTCTTGTTTGTGATTGGACAGTACCCTTGGAGTGACATGGGTACTGTCCAACCACAAACAAGAAGTGTGGCCCTACCCTTTTTCTGATTGCGATTGGACAGTGAGGACACAGTATGGGAATATTTTGATTGAAGGCATTCATACAAGGTTATTATTGATTTGCTTGCTACGTACCGTAACATTAACATTTCCTTAAGCACCCTGAAAACACGCCTTAGAGAATTAGGACTGAATAGACGGAGCGGCTACTCCTCAGAAACTGACATCAGAAGGGCTATCTTATCGGACCTGCGTGGACCTGGGCAGATGTTTGGATACAGAACTATGTGGCTTGCCTTTCAGCTATAACAGTTTTTTTTCGAATTGCTTAGGCACAATTTTGAAAACAGAGCCCCTTTTTTCAAAACACTTCACACAGTTAACCCAACCACGCACTAATTATACACTAATTTATAAAAAGGATATTTTGTCCCCATAACAAAAACACATTGCTTGTATAATCCACCTTTTTTTTAACCTGTTACACACTGATGTGCTAAATTTAAAACACTTTTAGCCCTTTTACTTTCCTCATGATTACTGTAAGTGAGGTATACAGAGAAAGTACAAAATAAATTCACCATGTCACTGCAAGGGTACTGTCCAATCACAAACAAGAAGTGTGGTCCTTCCCTTTCCGTTTTCTGTAATGTCATTGTGTTTTTTGAAATGTCGTTGTGTTTTCTGAAATGTCGTGTTTTTTGAAGTGTCGTTGTGTTTTGACCTTCAGGGCTACCGTACTTAGTTCTGCCCCTGACTCCTAGTACTGATTAAATATTCACATGGTGGAACAATAATCAGCTGCTTATTTATGGCACATATTATCTCCACAGTATGTCTTGGATAAAACTAAACTTGGCTGGACTTCTTTTTGTTAACTGACACTTTCACACGCTCTGCAGCGTCTGTATATCTCTATACGCTTATCATGGCTATAACCTATTCGCTCACACCTGCTGATGCCGGTCCCATACCTTGGTGTCTATGATCATTATGACGTGAATGGAGCATGTTACTCTCTTATTACTGGGGAAACATAATCTGACTGACCTCATGACCTCTGTCAGGGGAATAAACACTTCGATACGATCCCAGTGGAAAATCAGTTTTCTAATATAAGAGGTTTCCAAATTTATGATGACTGCAGACTGGTTTATGTTTACGTGTAAAAAGTTCATGGATTGGTGAACCTTGTGGGCTGGAGCGGGAGGGTTATAGGCAACAGATCGATTGGCGGGATGGATTTAATGAGTTTAAACACTGAGAGGGAGTTGGGAACCCCTACAGTGTTAGTGTCGTACAGCGCTTTGTGACCTCTTGTCTGTCAAAGGCACCTTCTCTGATGGTTAACATAGTCCTTGTGCTACTAGGCTTTTGGGAAATGTCTCTGTTTTGTAGCTCATTTTTTTCTCAAGTTACGGTAGCAATGGTCAAGACCATTAGGTATTTTAAGACCAATTCATACTTCCCTTTTCTGGGTGTGATTTTCGGTTCGGCACAAGCTGAGGTGAAGTACATTTTGTCATTGGGGGTTTGCTCCAGACAGCTGCAAGATAATTGATTAGTATTTCCAGTAGGTGGCAGCGGCGACTTTCACAGCTCAGTGGTCAACGGCAAAAGAGTAGAGAAAGAATAGCTGCTATTGTTGTAGTCAATGGGTGTTTCTTAATAAGCAAACTTGGCTGTATTTGTGTTCTCGTGTACCCATTTTACATCATTTTCCATTGCCGAAGGCCAGTTCCAGTATTAAGAACAGAAGACAACGGTAAAAGTCACTGGATGTTGGTCTTGCTCCACCACAAATATCAAGGATTCATTGATTGCATCCTTGCCAAATGAGACCAATCCCATGACTCATTATGCCCAAAGTTTGTTCTTGGAATGCAAGTTAGCTAGGCTGGTCTTATCACCCATATCTAATTTCTCATACTGTCCAGACATTATACCGAGGTATACAGTACTTCAAAAAGCAACACTATTCCAGAATTTTGGTGACCGTTTGTATGACTGATCTTTTGTTTTCCTGAGAAGATCAGTTATTGACCCAATGAGATGCTACTTTTTTGTATCCTGTTACTAGTGTGAAATTCTGTTTCCATGCTAATATTTGTGATTATTTTTCAGTGAAGTTAAAAAAAGATTTTAATTTAGATTTTCAAAATGATTTGATAACCGATTAATCAAAACAAATAGTAATAGAAATTCAAGATTTCTGGTGCATTGACTCGTTTCCTCAATAACTGAAATCAAATCGAATCACCTTGAGGTTACAATATATACTCCTAGTGAATTAGCTAATGCACATGTTTGTCCTGATCCACTGTAATAAGGGGCAGGCACTCAACACACTTGTCCCAGATAAATCTAACAGCAACACAACAAAGTGTTGTCTTGTTGATCTCAAGCAGGTCTTGTATGCTGGTTATCAAAGAGAATGACATAATATGGAAGGTCTGGTGCGCCATCACAGCACAAAAAATTGCCCGCCCAGATTCCGTAAACTGACGGTGGCCTCTTTATCTGTACACCTCACTGAGAATTAGCAGACCTATGTATCTGTGAGTCTGTGTCCCCCTCCATCTATCGTCATGCAGATGTCTTCCCACCAAGTTGGTCA